AGACCAGTATTTCTTAGGACACAAAAAACATAAGCCTTAAAGGCAAAATATTGATAATTCCTTAAAAGTAACTGTTTTGGAAAAGCACACAATATAGGTTTAAAAAAAAAACAAGCTATATACTGGGAGAAAATATATTTTAAAAATGTATATCTGCTAAAGGAATTTTATCCAAAGTATATGGAACTCTTTCAACTCAAATTAAGAACATAAGCAACCCAGTTTAAAAATTAAAATAAAAATTTTGAAAGATTTGAACAAACACTTCCAAAAAGAATAGTAAATAAGTATATGAAATAGTATAAGATGAATATAAATATATTTATTTTGATTTTATATTTTAATTTCTTTGTATAAAAATATAAACATTTATATTTTTTCATATTTTATTATACAAAATATAATTGAAGTATATGAAAAGATACTGTGCATATGTTTAATCATCAGGAAACACTAATTTAAACCACAGTGAGAACCATTACATGCCTGCTAGAATGACATTAAAACTGACAATAGCAAGTGCTGACAAGGGTGTGAACCCTCATAAGTTGCTGGTGGCAACATAAATTGGCACAGCCTCTTTGTAGAACAATTTGACAGATGCTTATAAAGTTAAGTATACACTTACTGAGCAATCATACTTCTAGCTCCCTATCTGGAAAAATGAAAACATGTGTCTCACTAAGATTTACATATGAATATTCATAAGAGTTTCATTCATAGTTAATACAAACTGGAAATAATCGATGAATATATAAGTAATGGAATTCCACTGAATAATAAAATGGAACACTGAAACATGCAAAAACATGGATGAGCCTCAAAAGCATTCTGCTTAATGGAAGAACCCAGGCACATAAGATGATATACTCTATTGTTCCATTTCTATAAAATTCTAAAAGAGTGCAGTGAGAGAAAGAAGGTATATGGTTGCCTAGGAAGGGGTCAGGGAGATTAGCTGTAAAAGGGGCAAAAGATAATTTTGATGACCAGGGCTGGGGAGGTATTTATACAACTGTGTACGTTTGTCAAAAGTCATCAACTCTTAAAAACGGGTATACTTTATAGTAAATTATACCCCAAAGCTGATAAAAAAAAAAAAAAGAATACATACCCAAAAGCAATTAGACCTGAGAATCACAGAATCTCAAGTCAATGTTGGGAGCAGTCTAGACGTAGATTTTAGAAGTCTCAGAGAGGAAGAGAGAGACATTAAAAGGAGCCAGATGTGTTCCAGTTTTCACCATGTGCCAGCTTGAATTACCAGTGTATTTTAAAATCTTGCCATAAATCAGATTGTCTTTGTGTGTGTGTGTGACCATGCAGATGACTGGGAAATTGATGAAGGAGATAGTGGCCATTAGGTAGAAGAGAAGGGAAGCGGGGAAGTCTAAAGAACTATGAATACATCATAGGCCAGGGGACCTGAATTCAGTGCTGGAAAAATATACATCAGCACAGACTGAATTTGCCACCAGGAAGGAAAAAAAAAAATAGAAGCGTGGCTTTGTAAAGAACTGAGCACACCAGCCTCTTCAGCTCCTCTAGTTACTGAGCAGCAGGCCTGATAGTTTAACCAGAAGCAATAAGCAAGATCGATCTTGGCCCTGGTCAGATATTTAGACTTAGTCAATATGAAACCTTCATCATTAAAACTGGAAAATGTGGTCTACCGTACTGGATGCAGTCCTCGCTGAGGGGTGCTATCTAAGTTGTCCTAGCTTGGTGTGGAGAACAGAAGAAGAACCTGAGTCACTCCCGGCAGGGAGTGGCATGATTGAATTGAATTGTGGGTGATGCACATACAGTGTGTATGAGGCATTAAGAGGTTTGCATGGGTAGAACATGGGGTGGGAAATGAATATGTTTGGGGGGTGAGGGGAGCAAATGAGAGCTAGATGGGGTCAGAACACAAAGGACCTTAAACCATGTGAAAGATCAGGGCCTCATTCATGACTTGCCCTGAGCTGTAATCGGAGTACCTACAGGCCACTGGTGCTGGACTCCAAGGTTGGTTTCCTCCTTGTCCAGGATTTTTTTCAGTTCTGTCACGCACTGCCTCTCTCTGCAATTAAATGAGCAAACATTATTACACTGAGAAATAAATAAAGAGGAATTGTTGATGGCAATGCAGCTTCTTTTGAGCTCATTTTAATGTTAAGGAAGATTGTACACCTTTGAAGTTGATTCAGAATATGACCGTGCTGGGGGGAATTAGAAAAAGGTAAAAGTGTACAAATTTGGACTGCCCAGCCAAGAGAAATTGATACAAGGGACTGTTGTTCCGGGGCTGGGGCCAGGACTCTCCTATAGCTGGTTGCTAACCAGCTCTTCTCTGTGACCTCAGGCAAGTCCTCTCTATGCCTCAGCTTTCATATCTATAAAATGGGGATAATAATGCTGATTCATTATCTGTTATCTATAATTCTGAGATCTAAAAAGCTCTGAAAACCAAAAATTGGTTTCGTTTGGTTTGGTTTGAATTTCATTGTTTGTGACAGACTCATTTGGTGGCAAGTATGGCCTGAACTTTGAAGCTCTCTAGTCATTTCCCAGTTGGTGTGAATAGTCATGAATTCTGAAGAAATGGTAACGTTTGATCATGGGGTGCTGAACTGTTTATGTGTCCCACCAGAGGTGTTTATAATATATGATATATAAACTCTACTCGCTTTCTAAAATCAAAACAATTATGGATTCTAAAATATCTGGCCCCAAGAGTTTCAGATAAGAGACTGTACACCTGTAATACCTTCCTCGTAGGGTTGAGGATTCCATTTCTGACAGCAGAACTCGGGAAATGGTAGAGTCATTATTATTTATCATTATTCAGACTCAAATATTAGATTCCCTTTCCCCATCCCTGAACATTAGTAAGGATAACAGCTGATAATGCCTAGGTTTGTTTTTAGTACCTTTACACCTTAGTCCATCAAATTTGATTAATAGTATATCAATTATTGAAATAGGATTTTTTTTTAACTTTCCTACTCTGAACACTTATCCTTCTTCTTTTCTTTTTTTCTTTTTTTGCAGTCTTTACATACTTGGGTAGATGCCTTATTTGCCTTCAGGTGACAAACTTATTTTTCAGTCATTTTTCCTGAGGTGAATCTTATGAAACTCACGCTTACGTTATGTATCTCCTAACGAAAACACAAAGGGCTATGCTTAATTTTCTGAGAGTTCTCAGTAAAAGTGAGTTCTTAACGTCTCCTAAGGAGGTGTCTTTGGAAGGTCATTGGTTAAAAACACTAGCACAAAAATACTCTTCTAGTTTTCATTCAGTGTTTCCCGAGTAGAATTTTATTTTTGTGGTCGATTTTTGGCATGCTCCCTGTTTCCTCAAGCTATATAAAACCCTGTTGCTGTGTTAATCCTTGACCTGTGGGCATGGAGAGCTGATTATGCAACACACTTCTAGCATTAGGAAATTTTTAACTGAAAATTTCATCTACTAAAATGCTTGGGATGAAAGAAATATTTAATAAATAAAACATTTCCAAAGAAGATATAAAGCAATTATTTCTAAATGCCTGTTTTTTTGTTTGTTTGTTTGTTTGTTTGTCTTTTTAAGTCAGACATTTACCTTCAGTCAAAGTTGGGTTGAAACATATCAATAATAAATATTTTTACCACTCTGGCACCTAGTCCCCAGTGTCTTTCCCCTGGAAGAATGTTGCTGCCAATTTAGGATTGCAACATGTGTGTGTGTGTGTGTGTGTGTGTGTGTGTGTGTTTACCTTTGTTTTGTAAGTGTTACTAGGTGCCCCACTCTTGGCTGGCAATTCTGGTGCCTAGTGGTTTCACTGCAGCAGCAGAATGAGGAGGAATGCAGTAATGGGGTATTGGCCTTCAGAATAGGGATGCTAAGGTTTAATAGAATGTAAGGATTAGAATGGAGACTTTCTACATTGGTTCAGAGATCGCGAGGGGAAGAAGAACAGGCTAAGACCTTTTTCTTCGATTTGGTTCTTGGGATCATCTTTTTCCCCCTATTTTGCCAGTTCTCCAACCAACCAGCCAACCAAGCAATGACTGAATTTCCTTTCTCTGAAAAGGAAGTTTGGGGAGGAAAGTTTCAGTCATTTATGAGTGAAGAGATCTGTATCTTGATGGCTTTTGTCATCATGATTTGTGCCATTATAACAGGCCAGTCCTTTTTGTGAGAGTATAAGACCAAATAGCCCCTTTCAGCTTTCCCATCGTCCTAAGCTATGGCATGAGAATATAAGTGCAATAGTTTGGGAGAATTTTTGCTTTGCATTTTTCTAGTTGGTTTTTACCTTGGGTAAAATCTCTTTACTCTCTGCAAGATAGTCCATCTTAATCTTTTCCCCATAAATCCTATTTCCTATGAGTCCCTCTACAGTATTGTAAGGGCAGGATAAATTGTAATCTGTTTAATATCTCTCAGTACATGAGGACATCGTTTTTTTCCCACTTAACTTCTAGTACTCAATGAAGTTGTTTGTGGTATGAATTATTTAAACCCCTCTGAGACTCAATTTCTTCATCCTCTAAAGAAGATAATAGGAAATAATGACATAAATGTGTTTTGATAAATGTGCACTCTTTTGTCAACATAGGATTTTATTTAAATTTTTTTTTTTTTAATTTTTTATTTACTTATGATAGTCACAGAGAGAGAGAGAGGCAGAGACACAGGCAGAGGGAGTAGCAGGCTCCATGCACCGGGAGCCCGACGTGGGACTCGATCCCGGGTCTCCAGGACCGCGCCCTAGGCCAAATGCAGGCGCCAAACCGCTGCGCCACCCAGGGATCCCTAGGATTTTATTTAAAGTAGAAAAAAGATTAATTTGATTAGTGAATAGAACTCCTTCCAGTAAGATTGCTAGCGGTCATCGTCAGGTGTGTAGTAGCCAGTCATGAATGTGTATCTATGGAAAATGAACCCATTTTCCTTGTTCTGATTTGGAATGTAACAATATCTCCTGTTGGTTCTCTCCTCCTGCCACCACCGGCCTATCTCTAAGCAGTATTCCACTGAACTGAAGAAACTCTACTGCCAAATTGCAAAGACATGTCCCATCCAGATCAAGGTGATGACCCCACCTCCTCAGGGCGCTGTCATCCGTGCCATGCCTGTCTACAAGAAGGCTGAACATGTTACTGAAGTGGTGAAACGGTGCCCCAACCATGAGCTGAGCCGTGAATTCAATGAGGGTAAGAATTGGGATCTCGGGCTGTTTGGCTAAGCTTCTTGAAAATTGAGACCCTGTGGAGATCTTTCTTTGGGGGAGTCCATCAACCTGGTTTGAAACTCTGCACCCTGAAGGCAGCTCAGTCTACATCTTTGTCTAACAGAGTGTCTGAGAATAATGATATATGCATCTGTGGCTCTATAACAACTGGACTGTTTGATTTAATATTGGTGATTACTAGATGGCCTGGACTTACTTCTAAATACGTGAGAAAAATAGAAGAGGAAAGTCGGGGAAAGCAAAAGAAATGAAGATAAATAATGGATAAGAAGACTAAGGAGAAGATCTAGGACATAAACTAGGAGGGGGTACAGCAAAGTAATGGATTGGGGGTCAGGGAGCAGGTATCTTGGGGCCTCCTTTAAGTTCTGTGTCCATGGATAAGTCATGTCCCATGTTCTGAGCCTCAGATCCAAGAACAGCTTTACAGAGGAGGTCACTATTTCTGAGGGTTCTCTTACATTGGATATTCTAAGGTTCTATGAAGGGAGGCTAAGTGAGGAGCAGAGGAAAGTAGAAAGGAAGGACAAGAGAACATCTAAGTATTCATCAAAGAGTGATCTGGGTACAGGAGGCTTAGAAGTGAGGATACCTTATATAGAAAATACATTAAAAATAGAAATATTGGTAGGTAGCTGGTGTGAAAGTAGAAATAAATGGTAAGGAAAAATTAACAGAAGAAAGAGAGTGGATAGAAATTTCAAAAGAGAAAGTTAAAATCATCCCACCTTAACCCAACTACTTTTTTATACATTAATTTCCAATCCTAGTCTACACAGCTTCATTTTCAAAACCTTTCCATCTTACTTTTCACTTAATAATATGCTTTAAAGATTATTCCTTACAGCTAGGTTTCATTATAGGTTTCCATAACTACCCTTGATCCATAGAGATGATATAACTCTATTTTGTTTTGCTTTCTCACTGTTTGACAAAACAGCTGTTTTTAGTTTTTGCCAAATAAATGAGTCTTCAGAGAGCATTTTCACACTTAACTTTTGACTTTTATCGAATGATAATATGTACCCAAAGGTTAAGAATATCTTTATGGCTCCTGCTCCCAATTCTTAGATTAGCTTCTTTCTTTTGGAGCTCTGTCAAGTATCCCAATTTTGCAAAATGTGGCCTGTGCTCTTTTAAAAGCATGCTTCCCTTTTCTGTTCCTCCAACCTGGAGCTCTTTCAGCACCAGAAAACCAGTAAGTTTCTCATCTTTATGACCAAAGCAGGTACAAAACCAGGGGTCCCAGGCTGGTCGGTCAGTAGGATGTGCAACTCTTGATCTCCATGGTTATGGGTTCAAGCCCCACGTTGGGTGTAGATCTTAAAAAAAAAAATCAGGTGTAAAGATGGAGACTTTATAGCAGAGAAAGGAACAGGCAGTGGAGGTATATCCTTGCAATCTATTACATCGTGTTAGTATTTTTGCTAGACAATTTTGTGGAAGCATCTTTTCACAAGCTGAGATATGGGGGTTTTCTTGTTTGTTTGGTTTTTATGAACTTGTTCCTTTCCCTTCCCTTTTCATGGAAGCTAAGAAAATCCGCTCCATAGATCAGGGCAGAGACATAATTAGAGTTGCTTGAAAGTTTGAATTGTTAACCTTCAACACCAGAAACAAAGGATTATTCCCTTAAATATAGATGAGCATTGCAGCCCTTTCTATTGCTAAAAAGGCATACCTGCATTTATTAGATGTCTGGCAATGAGATCTCTTCCTTTTCTTAAGGATGTATATTTCGTCTACTAAACAAATCACTTCTTTAGCCACCAATATATTGTATATGCAGCTTCATTTTCTTTTTTCTTTTTTTTTTTTTTCCTTTTTGAAGGCAAGGAACTAACTGTTTTGTCTTTCTCTGTTCTGCAGGACAGATTGCCCCTCCTAGTCATTTGATTCGAGTAGAAGGGAACAGCCATGCCCAGTATGTAGAAGACCCCATCACAGGAAGACAGAGCGTGTTGGTACCTTATGAGCCACCCCAGGTAAAAATATGAGTAGTGGATTGACTTGGGAAAGCATTTGTTTTGGTGATAAAAAGTATTCGGAGGATCTCTTTCTGCCTTAGTGTTTGTCATCAAATATAAAACTTTTTGTATTTCTTCTCTCCCTCTTTACCATACTGCTTCTCTGTCCCCTTCAGAACTCCTAAATTTGTACTGGTTAATTTGGTAACATTGCTCTGTACCCATGTTCTCATTTTAAAGGCCAATACTAATTAAACTTGTGATTGGGTAAATACCTGACCTTTTCTTATCTAGAGAATTTAAATGGCAATTGAATGATAGTAGATGTGCACTGGACGCCAGTATATTCCTAATCGGAATACAAATGAGAGACTCTAAGGGGGATCTCTTAGCTGAAGTATGGATGAACAGGTGGCAGATTAGGAAAACAGACTGGTTCTGTGGTGGGAACACTGGAGTAGTGAAACCAGAGTTTTGTGGTTTGCTGGCTTGCTGTGTAGACCTTTAGCTTGTGGCTCTCCCTCTCTAAGTTTCAGTTGCCTTGACCATAAATGACTACTTGGGAATAGATGATTTAATCTCGAGGACCTTTCCAGCTCCAGAGTGTTACTTACGGAAGTGTACACTTAAATCTGTGTTATCCTGTTTTGTCCACATGGGGAAATATTCCTGAGTGTTGCTGCTAGTTTTTGTAATTTTTTCATCTCTCCCCTGCTTGAATTAGGTGATAGTTTTAGCTTGCAAATGAATAGGATCAACAGGATCAAGAAGTTTTACAATTTAGGGGCACCGGAGTGGCTCAGTTGGTTAAGAGACCAATCTTGATTTCTGCTCAAATCATGATCTCAGGGTCATGAGATGGAGCCCCAAGTCGGGCTCTCCACTGAGTGGGGAGTCTGCTTCTCTCTCTCTCTCTCTCTCTCTCTCTCTCTCTCTCCCTCTCACACTCTCTCTGCCCCTCCCCCACTCTCCCTCTCTCTCTTTAAAATAAATAAATAAATCTTAAAAAAAAAACCCATTATGTTTGAAAGCCTTTTTCACCCAGCATCCAGTGTTGCAAACATGGTTTTAAGCTTCCCAAGAGACGAGGCATAGGGGAATCTACGATGGGCTGTAGAGCTTGTCTTGCTAGAGGGAAGCCTATCACCTCATCAGAAGTGAGTTGATTAACTAGAGGAGAGAACTGAAAGGAAGAACATCAGTTCAAACCATTGTTAAACCAGACTCTTTCTCCTCCTCCACCCCCCCCACCCCGTGTTCAGGTCGGCACCGAATTCACGACGGTCCTGTACAATTTCATGTGCAACAGCAGTTGTGTTGGAGGGATGAACCGCCGTCCAATTTTAATCATCGTTACTCTGGAAACCAGAGAGTAAGTGGCTTATGCAGAATTGTCATTCTGCAAAACACCGTGGGCAGAGGGCAGCGTGAAATTGTGTTTGCTCTGTCATTAACTTCCCATGTACAGCGGAGAGCTCCCCTTGAGTTTGTCCTTTGTGCTTTAAATCCTGGCGGCAAACACGGACATAAAAGATCTAAGAAGGTGGAGACAGAATAGGGTAGAGGGAAGAAAAGAACTGGGAAGGCATGCAAGTCACTTCATACCTGAATTCTTGACATTTGACTGCAGGAGTTTCTGATTAGACAGTGTTTGTTTTCATGTGGCTCCCAAGGCAGTTAACAGTTTCTTTGAGTAAGTCTGGGCTGCCTAAGGGGGTTTTATCCAGAAACATCCATGGCTTAACTCAACTTTCCTTCAAAATCTGTAGCTAAATACAGCTGTTCAGTCAATGGCTTGGAGCTTCTTCGCAGAACAAATGGAATGTTATTTACTAATATTGTTTGTGGCGTGTGGTAAGCACTTTTGTGCTCTGCCAAGTGCTTCTGGGTCCATCCTCAAAACCTCCATGAGTGAGCTGGTAGTGATGGTGGATGGGTGATGGCTGGCATTGGATCTGGAAAGGAGGGAACCCCAGGGACTTGTAAAGTTCTTTCCAATTTTACCCTTTGGCTCCCTCCTTTCTGCTTCCTAGTGGGCAAGTCCTGGGCCGACGCTGCTTTGAGGCCCGGATCTGTGCTTGCCCAGGGAGAGACCGGAAGGCGGATGAGGACAGCATCAGGAAGCAGCAGGTGTCGGACAGCGCAAAGAACGGTGACGGTACGAAGCGCCGTAAGTAGCTGTAGTAGCCAAACGGGGTAGGGCTACACCTGCTGCAGGTGGGGGCGCAGGAGCCATGCTGGGGAAGCCGCATAGAAAGACCTCAGGCTGTTAGGGGCAAGTCCCACCTGAGGTGCCCCAGCCAAGTGGCACTTCAGGTGTGCATGACACAGCTTTGCAAAAGCATTGAGGACTGCTTGGCCTGGCCTGCCTCATACTGCGACTCCCGGACCAGAAGTGTCAGCATCATCTTGAAACTGGGTAGAGATGCAGATTCTTAGTTCCCAGACCTGCCGAATCAGAAACTCTTGGTATGAGCTCTTGGTATCAGTTTGACTTTCTGTAATTGTAATGAGGGCTGAAAATATGATCTGCCTACCTTGTGAATTCCTGGAAACAGGGAGATTGACAATGTATTTCAGGAAGCACGGTCTGGGGAAGATGCAGATCTGGGTCTCATTGAGTTTTGACTTGTAGGGCCCTCTGGGTGCCTCAGTTACCTCATTTATAGTGAGGCTAATGACTTAGGTCTGTTGTTTTGAGACTACTTTTGTTGAGCAGTAAAAGCTTTTTATAAAAAAAAATGAAGTATTAAAACAACAAACAAAAACCCCTACAATGCATGTAGACTAAATCAGAGTGGCTCTAATTGAAGGGGTCAGGAGTTGGGGGTGGTCTGGATCCCAGGTTCTGCCCACAGCCACCCCTTGCCTGCGTGGTGGAGAGGCTTAGACCTCCAGGTAACCAAGGGTAAAAACCACAGATCCACATGTGCATCTAACTTGTGAGAAGGTGATTCTAGAAGGTGCTTTGCATAAGCCTGTTATCACTACAAGTATTTTAAAGTATACCACACTATGAGTTATTTCATGAAAACATGTTTTAATCTTATTACTGATTAGTGTCCAGAAGAAATATAAATTGTATTGCGTTTTACAGAACAACAGAATCTTATAACAGCTGCTCATCATCAACTTCTAACTGTTCAGTATGATTTGCCCTTCCTGTTAGGCTCCTTCTCTCCTTGATTGTTCCTTAGAAAAGTATATATGGTTATCCCTGGGTGGCTCAGTGGTTTAACGCCTGCCTTTGGCCCAGGGTGCAATCCTGGAGTCCCGGGATTGAGTCCCACGTTGGGCTCCCGGCATGGAGCCTGCTTCTCCCTCCTCCTGTGTATCTGCCTCTCAATCTCTCTATGTCTATCATTAATTAATTAATTAATTAATTAATTAGTTAATTAATTAAAAAGTATGTATGTATGTATATATATATACACATACGTATACACACTGCGTACATATATGTATAATTCTATCTCTACCCTAATTTTACTCTTGAGTCTGTCTGGTGGCATAGTTTCTATATGCTTCCCTGACCACCTCAGTTACCTATAAATTAATAACTTTTAATAACAATAGATTATCTGAACTTTGGCAAAAGAGGATCATTTCTATCACCTGGACCCTGGGTGTGGTTCCTAATGTTGGAAACCCTTAGGATTTATGAGCTGCATCCACTCACTTTACCAAAGGGTCCTAGAAGTTATGTGATGCATGCTCCACCATGGGAGGGCTGAACACACAAGCTGGATGCATGGGCAAGACAACTTCTACGACACACATTCACCTCCTTGGAAGATAAATGATCTGAAAAATAAAACACCAAGCCAATTTATCTTCCTTTCCTTAACAGCTGTTCACAGACACACGCCAGCAAGATGCCGGATTCCTGCAGCACCACTTAGGCCAAAGGCTGTTTTCCAGCTTTCCGGATGTCTTCCTTCTACTTACTCCTCCTCCTCTCTTCTCCCCTCCCGCCTCATTATTGTTAGGTGTAATGTAAATGCAGTTATCACCAAGTAAATGGATGCTTAGGACTGGAAACTCTAATCTCATGGGTTTGCTGAGGCTACTGTCTGTTTAATAAATGTATTAGTGCTTCAGAATTGTTCCCAGGATGAAACTTGCATTTTCCCTCCACCAGCTTTTCGTCAGAACACACATGGCATCCAGATGACATCCATTAAGAAACGGAGGTCCCCAGATGATGAGCTGTTATACTTACCAGTGAGTCTCCCTTGAGTATTCACGATTGCTTCATTTTTGCCTTCTCTGAATGAGCTTCTCCTCTGTTGTCATCTTATTATCTGTGACAATGAGAAAGGGGCGAGGGTGATTAGGGAGGTAAAACAGGGAGAATGTATTGTTTGAAAAATCAGGAAATGATCCCTCTCTTCCCCTGTCTTGACGTGTGTCGGTAGCATAGGCTCCTCTATTCACCCAGTCAAAGCTATTCTTCTGATATAATTTTCTTACCCAAATATTTAAAATTAATTTGCAGTTCATTATTTAAGAATGATACGATTACCCTAGACAGTGTGGCCATACCATACCGTGGCCAAGACTGAGATTTTATCAGAAGGAGCTCACAGATTTGACAGTATGGCAATTATAGACTTGACTGTGATTTCTTTGAGGAAATGGTATAAAGAAAACCATATGAGACAGACTCCTCAGTTATATGTGAATGGCGGGAAGACTCAGCCCAGTTGTTGTATAAGAGCACTGTTCATTCCTACAAGGAACGAGTCCTCTGAAGGTAACTAAGGTTCCCTTTTTAGACTATGATTGGATTCTTATCACCTTAGGTTTTGGCATCTAGAGTGGCAGCAAAGTCTTGGTAACCAGCAAAACCCTAGACACCATCTTAACTTACCTGAGACCCAGGAAAGCAGGACCAGGAGATTTGCCTGGGAGGTGCCACCTTTGTATTGAAGTTAAAGCAACTCAACAGGTTTGGGTGTGCCACACCTGCTTCCCTACCTTCCTTGGGCCCTGACCTTCAGGGCAATAGGCTGCTTGCTAGTAAAACAACAACGAGACAGTGAGTTAGCCAAGATTCTCAGTGTCCTTTTTTCTCAGGCTACATATGGAAATGGACTTGTGAATTTTGTTGGACATTATCCTAAAATACTAAGTATTCCAAAAGACTTAAAATATGTTTTCAGCTGCTGAGATAGGAACCCCTGGAAAAGCTCTTTCTAACGAAATTTCAATTTGTCCTAAGGAAGGAGGTAGCTTGTGATCAGCTACATTTTATGTTTAGTGAAGAATTGCCAAACTGGAGTGTATGAATTTAAAAAAAAAATCTTTTAATTGAACATGATTTTAGTTGGTGTCTGTTAGGTAGCAAATATGCTAGGGCCTGAGTATTTAGAGATCAGTGGGATATAATTTTTACCTTCAAAGAGCTTGCCTCCTAGCAAGGAGACAGAATGTAATGAAATAAATACCTCAGCAGAGCTGGGCATGATGCCATGGGAAGACGTAGCAAAAGGACAGACGCTCACCCAAAGACAGAGGTCAGGGAAGCTTTGCAGAGGTAACCACAGAGCTGGGATAAGTAGGAATCAAGCTGACATACAGTAGAGAAAACCTTTCCATTTCTAAATTCTGACTAATCCTGCCTCTCGGCGGGGGGGAGGCAGGGGTGAGCAAGCAAAATGCCTAGGGTGCAGAAATTAAATAGGCACTCGCTCTCAGGACCCTGCAAGCGCTCATGTGCCCTACTTGCCTCACTGCAGTCCTAGTCCTGCTCATATTAAACCTTCTATATGAGGTTTTTAAAAACCTTCTTAAAAACCTTTAAGACTCTTAAAGAGAGAAACATATTTTACCTTAGCTGAAAACTTCTGTCTTTCCAGAGATAGTTAATAGCAGTTACTTCTCCTTACTTTTGGTAGTTACTTCTTATAAAATCACCGCAAATGCTGTTCTAACCAGTATAGAATCATTGCTCCTGAGGAAGTCCGGGATTAAGTTTATGTGAGCCTCTGCTCACAACATCTTCAGCCACCAATCAGTACATAACCTTGCTTGATGTCTTTTCTGTTTAGGGACACTTTATGTAATATATACTATTGATTCGTTAACACTGAACTCATGACCAACAGCACGGTAACTCCTGCCCTAAGTGAGGCTATTATTACACATTTCCTCCATAAGGCACATCACAGCCTTCTAGAATCCTAGACAGCATTTCAGCACTACTGTTGGGGACCAGTTTAAAGAGCAGGTTTACAAAAAAAAAAAAAAGAAAGGAAAGAAAAGAGAAAGAAAGAAAGAAAGAAAGAAAGAGAGAGAGAGAGAGAGAGAGAGAGAGAGAGAGAAAGAAAGAAAGAAAGAAAGAAAGAAAGAAAGAAAGAAAGAAAGAAAGAAAGAAAGGTGGAAAATGTGGCACTAAATAGACCATGGAAAGGACACTTATTTGCAACATGAAAGCTGGAACAAGACAGCAGAGCATGCCCTTCTTCACTGGAGCTGGGAACATGCCTGCGAGGCTGCGGCGGTCACTCCGTGGGTCTGTGAATGATCACAGAGCAATGCCAGTATTGGTTTTCACCTTACAAATGAATGTTAGTAAACAGGTGAATGCGTCAGCATGGAGTCCACAGATAAGGAGGACTGACTGTACTGCCGGCTGTTCTAGAGTTCTTCATTTCCCCTTTCTCTTTCCTTATGGTCTGCACGTAGGTGAGGGGCCGCGAGACCTATGAGATGCTGCTGAAGATCAAGGAGTCCCTGGAGCTCATGCAGTATCTGCCTCAGCACACGATCGAGACATACAGGCAGCAGCAGCAGCAGCAGCACCAGCATTTGCTGCAGAAACAGTGAGTGTGTCGATGTGTCCTCTTAGGAGGTGTGAGTAAGCGTGACCGTTCATTTGCATCAGAAGTGGGGTGCTGGGTGGGGGATGTAGAAGGTGAGGCTGTGAGACAGCAGAACATCATAGGTTCACATGAGCTCGTTGTTCAGTTTTAACAGCCTTCTAGGTTTCTTTCCATAGCCTTGAGAAGGTCCACCCAGCTTCTGACATTGATGCTAAACCATTTTGGGTGAATTACAGAGACTCGCAAAGAGTTTGTTCTCTCAACCCCTCATCCACACACCCTATCAATAGAAGAGTTTTGAGCACCCACTCTATTCTAGCCATAATGTGTATATTTAACAACATGTGATCTTCCCTCCTCCCAATGGATTGGCCTGTACCTTACCTGAGATACGCACAATCCACTTCTGGGAAAACCACTGTAGACTGGGAATAACACATAGGTTTTGCGATATGTGGCTTCTGTGAGAGCTCTGTGGAGGATTCTGAGACCTAACGCACGCTCATTAGAAAGCTGTGTGGATGCAAAAGGGCAAAGCAGAATCTAATTGCCATGTTTTAGCATCTCTGTTCTTGGTTATCTTCCAGCACTACATTTTTACATAAATTGGGCCACATTTGGCAACCATTTTAGAATATACATGAGATGTATATATTTATATGTTCATTTTTATGTTGAGTCTTGAGCATCTTTGATGATACTATTTTGTGAATAATCAGAATAGAATAGTTCTTATGGGAGAAAGAAAAGTTATCAAATTAAGTCTGTTGATACTTAACCCTTCTGTGGTTAAGAATAATCACTTGTTAGTTCAAGTCAGTGACTATATTGGAAATATTGGCAAAGTCTCTGTAGATAATGTAAAATGTATACATTTTGGGCCCATTTAAGTATTCCAAACATTGGGGCTCTACTCCTCAGACAAGAGGAAATAAAGCTCAAATCATCTTGCCGAAGGCAAAGATTGTCTTTTATAATAGAAATGTAAATGAACAGTAAATAATGGTTATTTTCTGATATATTATTAGCTGCTATAGAGAGCCATGGAAAATGTAAGAAAGAGGGCTCCTCATTCTCTTTTTAATCAACATAAGTGCAACTGAGGAGTTAGACTGCATCTGTGATAGTCAAGAAGCATCTCTGAGCACCTGTTGGCTATGGGGTACAGGGTGGGCAGCAGAGGGGCAGAAAACAAGTGTGCTCTCCCTTAAATGGCTTCAGGCTCATTGAACATTTAAGACCTTTTTTGCCTGGAAGGGATCTCACCATTTACTTTGAGCATGAAAGTTTTGCAAATCATAATTAGAAGGTTTTATGGTAAGGCTGAGTGGGAAGTTTAATCAGGAGGTTTCTTGGGGAGACAGAGTATTCCAAAAGAATGAGACTCTGGGTTGCAGACAAAATCCCCATTGCCAATCCTATATATTCTTTAGGATATATTCAAGTGTAAAACTGATTTAGTTCTTGAACAATCTTACAGCAGGGATCAAAGAAACAGACCTGTAACATCATTTACAACTGAGAGAGGATAAGTGCCTCTCTCTTAAGAGGGAAATATGCAAGTGATGGTATTAAGAAACACTCCCAAATTGCCTCTAGTTCTCTCTGGAAATGTTTGGCTCACCAAAATGACCTCAGAAGCGTTATATAGTAGCATATCATGCAGAACTAGTTACTCCACGATAATCTTTTTCCAACTAACAGGAACAGTACTGTCAGGTCAGGCCAAACTGATACTTATTGAGTGGTGTGGTTTAGAAAATCTGACCATTTAGCACAAGAGTTGGCAAACTTTTTTTTTTTTTTTCTGTGAAACACCAGTAGTAAACATCTTCAGCTCTCTGGTCCGTATGGTCTCTTGCAACTAGCTACCTAGTTCTGCCTCAAGCACAAAAGCAACCACAATATGTTAAATCAGTGAGAGGAGCTGGTACTTTTTATGGACACTGAAACTTGAATTCCATATAACTTCATATCATGAACTAATTCTTCCTCTAAATTTTCATACATTTTAAAAATGGAAAAACCATTCTTAGCCTATGGGCCAGGTTTGGCCCATTGACTATAGTTTGCCAGTTCTTGTTCTAGGTAAATGAGTGGATCTTCCTTCATTGCCTCTGAAGGCTTAGTTTGTTTGTTTATGAGAGAGAGACAGGGACAGAGATAGCAAGAGGGAGCATGAGCAGGGAGACTGGGGCAGAAGGGAGGGGGAGAAGCAGGCTCCTCGTTGAGCAGGAAGACTGAGGTAGACTCGATGCTAAGACCATGACGTGAGCCAAAGGCAGATGGTTAACCTACTCAACCACCCAGGCCCCCTGAAAGCTTAGATTTTTTTAAAGATTTTATTTATTTATTCATGAGACAGAGAGAGAGAGAGAGAGAGAGAGAGAGAGAGAGAGAGGCAGAGACACAGGCAGAGGGAGGAGCAGGCTCCATGCAGGGAACCTGCTGCAGGACTCGATCCCAGGACCCCAGAATCACAACCTGAGCCAAAGGCAGACGCTCCCCCGCTGAGCCACCCAGGAGTCCCTAGGCTTAGAATTTTTTTAAAGCTGTATTTATTTGGAATGCCTGATAAAATATAAATAGATATATCTTATATCCTGTATCCTCTACTTTTAGAGAGGTATGAAAATGTTTAAGAAAGCCTACAGTGATTTTTAAAGTGCTATTTCGGTATCTGACAAAACGACACCCTTTAACAGAGCTCTCTTTTGTCTGAGAAAGTTAGGCATGCCCATCGAGACACAAAATAGGGTTAAGACTGGAATAGCTGAGTTTATTCATGTAACAAACTTTTTATTAAATATCTGTTATGGGGAAGCATTAAGGATAAAGATGGGAAAGATGAAGTTCCTACCTTCCCGTAGTTTACAAATTCATGGTGAATTCCTAACCAGACCACTTTTTGAATCTTAAGAAAGCTCTGCAAATTCATTCTGAGCATTGTGTAAGTTAATAAGACAATTTGAAACAACTCCTCTAGATCACACCATAAAAGGAATCATTTAGTGACACGCTTCTAGAGATTTTATAAGCAAGAGGATCTGCCTTAGTCAGTCGGGGGCTTGGGAAATTTGTGTTTGTTTGCATGGTGTACATGAACATACAGAACCCTATGTTCACATGTGATGAGTTATCCAGTGCTTAGTCTGGATGGCTGGCACTGCTGTGAAGGCAAATTATCTTATAATTCATATTTCATAAAGCAGTCTATTTCATCAAAGAAGAAAATGCATATTAAAATTGTGTTATTTTCAAAAGCCCAAAAGATATTAGAAACCTATTGTCCCTTTTCTGCAAGTTTAGCAACAGAGAAATAGTGAGGGAGCAGAGCCTCATGGTTCCCTGGGGTATCCATTTAAAAGCATTATTGCATGTTTTTGAGTTGTTATCTCCCAGTGTACAAGAGCTAACTTCAGTGTGATGATTTGTGCATGGAAATGTGGCAGACTGCAAAATGAAATCTTTGCAAAATACAGACATTTGGTCTAATTTTGCCTTTGTTATGTCATATATACACGGCCTCCAATGATTGATACACATCTATATAAATTCTCCACTTGCTGTGTTCTTCTCCTGGGTTTTTTTTTTTCAGCTCTCTTTATTTTCATGCAAATCTCCAAAAAAGAGCATGAATGACTAGACAAAGAAAAATGGAAATCTAATTCCCTGGCAATCATTTGAAAAGAATAAATCAGCTTGGAAAATGCCTATAATAGCCTGTGATTTCCTTTCCAAAAATATAGACCAATTTTATGCTGGTAAGGGATCAATTTTGTGCTTTTCTTTTTAGTAGAGGAAAAATTAGTGGGAAGGAAATACACAGTTTCTACTAAGCGGCAATAAAATATTTTCAGTTGAATTACTTCTATTAGTTTCTTGCTGTGTGTTTTCTCTCTGCTTGCTTTTTATTTGTGCATGGTTTTCTTTTTGCAAAAATCCCTTCAGCTACCTTCATGATCATAGGCTTTATGGAGGGTAAATTTTACATTGAGTTTTCGTGAATCAAATTTTTATAGATATAAGGAGGCTTTATACCATTTACCAAGAAATTTGAGTTTAGTGGATTTGCTCACATTGGAATAAACATCTGGAGTTATGTTTCTGGAGTCAGAATCTAGTGGGAGGACAAACTAGACCCACTCTTAACATTAGACTCCTTGCCTTCACATTTTCAAGGGACATTGGCTCTTAAGACAATTTTACAGAAGCTGCTTGAGACCTTTTTAGCAATCTTCTGATGTGCGCACTTTGGACCAAGAGTATTACTTTTTCATTTTCTCCTGTAGTTTATCCTCCTCCTTGGCTTCCATTCTGGTCTCAGGCCAATATCCTTTTGTTAAAATTTTACTTAGTCTAACTCTTATTTTCCCCTGGAAAATTATTTTTTTAGTTTCTACCGGATGGATTTATTTGAATCGTAACACAAATATGTGACATCCTAAGAGTCCCCTAGTGTTTCCTAAGGGTGTCCTTGATTATCCCTTGACAATTGTAGATGATCAGTAATGCAGGTCAGAGAATACTGGAGTAGAATGGGATCTTCAGGGTCATAGTTCTAATCTCATCATACCATAACTAGGGAAATGGAGACCCAGTGAATAACACCTGTGATTTCATGGTCAGCTCATAATAAAGCTACGATGACAGATTTGGAAGACACAGCTCTTTGCAATGTTTTGTCTGCTTCATTAGTTAAGAAACTTACAATAGTAAAACTAAAGCAAGCATCTGTGGTCACTTTTAGGTCTCTTGTATCAGTTGGTATTTATCCTTTCAGTGTGAAGTCTTACCTCTTTAAACTCTTTTGGCTATGACTTTCTCCAAGAATATCGATAACATTCCCTCAGATTGCATAGCCAAGGGGGAAGCCAGTAGTATTTTTGGCTTTATCAATATGGGAGAGAGAGAGAGAGAGAATACACAAATCTCTATCTCCTCAATAGGTGTAGTTTAGACCATATTTCTAAGTTTGATTTAGAAATCATTCACATGTC